CGTGAAAAGCGACGATGACGACGTGGTTGTTTCTACTGTTACTGTTACCGTTGCTGTTGCTGTTGCTATTAGTGTTGCCGGGTGGTGTTACTACTGCCGTCGTCGTTCATCGCGACGAGCGATATTTGAACGCTGCCACCACGATTTATCGTTCAAATAATATTTGTATTTTTTCTCTTTTTTTTTTCTCTCTCTCTCCTATATACACATACATAGACAAAGATCTAATTCATGTGTGCATATTTGCACGTATGAGAGAAACATAAACTCTTCTCGTTGCATAGTCAGTAAATGTGAGCAGATGTATACGTATGTACATATGATGTACATATGTATGTATGTATGTGTGTATAAGGAGAGGGGATGGATATATTTATTTTCATTTGCGTTTTCTGAATTATACAACGTTCGTTTAACGGCACGAATATATTGTTCCTTTTTTTAATAGTCCTCATTCCTAAACAACAATCTCTATCACAACCACAACTACCATTACCACTACCACCACCCCTTTCTATGAATGCTTGTTATCTCATCGAGTTACACTTAAACGTTCGCCAAGAATAATCTTCGCGATTTTTGGAAGTATTTATTTCTATCTCTATTTCTACCTATATCTCTCTACTACCATTTCAAATAATAAAAGACTCGATCTAATGTAGAATCCATTATATCCATTAGTATTAATTAAACGCGTAGCGGACTCGCCGGCAAAGGTTCGTGCATTTTTCAACGATAAAGTCAACGACTTTTGATTATTTTATTCTCACCAATTCGATTTGATTCTGTGATATAGGTATAACTGAGCGGCTTATTTTCGCGTTTTTTTTTCTGAGAGAATTTTTTCCACAAATATATAAGCTCATTCAAGAATCTTTTCGATCGAAGTATAAACTTTGATAGAAAAAATCGAATCAACGAGTACTTTTATAGTTCGAGATCTTTCTCTATCTCTTTTTTTGTATACCTTTCTTTCTCTTTCTCTCTCTTCTCTCTTTTTATGTCAGTTAAAAGTAATCGATAATCACGTTAAAGTATATAATTAAGCACTTGGCATTAACGAAAACAGGTGTATAACAACGGCACTTCGTCGAATGATTATCGTTGTTGGTGCAAAGCAACGATCGTTTTCGTTATACGAAAATGCCGTACACGGTCCCGTGTATAATAGTTGATAATTAACGGCGATTAATGAAGTAGCAGCGATTTTCCTCTTTTCCTCGACTCCACCATCACCACCACCACCACCACCACCCGTCGCAAAACCATCGTATCATCGAGTACGTTTTAATACTGGAATCATGTGAATTATTTCTAAAACGGATTACCATTCATTTCATTCACTTTACGATACAATTGTTTATTTGGTATAACAAATTGATCGAGAATTGAAATTGGTGTTTAGATAATGATAATATAATAATCATTATTGTCGTTCTATCTATTTATGTTTGAAATATTTACGAAATTATATTAAACACCGTCCTATTTTTATATTAAGTTTATTAAAGATTTTCTTTTTAAAATATTTATCTGAAATTAATTAAGTTAAAATTTATCTATGAATTATTTGGAATAATATTTTAGTTTGTATAAAATTATTAGGTAAAATATTGCATAAAGTATAAAATTAAAAAAGTATTTGTACCTAATTCTAAATACTTTCTCTATATAATCGTTGATTAAATAATCAAACTTATTTTCACCTAACAATAATTTTAAATCGACAAAGATAAAATATCAACTAAAAAAAAAAGTTAATAATTCTCTATCTTTCTTCTCTCAAAACAAAAAAAAATCCCCAAAATATTAAACCCAATTAAGTTTATCACAAAAATTCGTAAAAAGAAAATAACATTGATAGCAGTAGTAGGGGCAGGGTGAAAAAGGGGGGAATAGTTTATAATTGGAAAATATTCCCAAATAAAGTATGAATGGGTCGATCTAAATTTTTTTTTTCCTAAAAAAGTCGTCATTGTCTTCGTCCTTTATCGTCTACGTAGTTGTGTAGTAGTAGTCCGCCATGGCAAGTCAAGAAATCTTTGATAGCAACGCTCGATAGCACAGCCCGGTTGCTGAAGCGCCGGCGCCTTTCTCTCGCACCCGGATTGGTGTACCTGAGGCCCTCTCCACACGAGTACCCACCGCACGGGGGTTTCCTTGGAAACGCTGAAGGTTCGCTCTGCTGATGTCTACCCTCCTCGCCCACGGAAAACCTCTTTCAATTAGGCACCCAGCCATCCGACCGTAGAAGAGACCCCGATCCATCCCTTACTTTTACTTCTTCTTCTACTTCTTCTACTACTTCTCCTTCTATTTCTTCTTCTTCTTCATTTTCTTCTCCTTCTTTTCTTTTTTTCTTCCTTTCTGTCTGTCTCTGTCTCTGTCTCCCTTTCTTTCTTTAGTGGTGCTATCAAAAAGGACATTTCCACTTTTCTTCTTGAAATCCAAATTGAAGAAAATAGATGCTGTGTTCGTAATCTTCACTTGTCACATGATAATTAGAATTTATGTATTTATAAAAGCGGTTAATCAAAGTCCAATCGTTATTCGATTTATCAGTTTTTATCTTGAGAATTTTATTACGTTTAATTTACTTTTTTTTTAATGTGTTATTTATAATAACTGGAAATTTTGAAGTTTTATTACATTTCTATCTATTGAGTGATACTATTTCTTTTTTTTTTTTTTTAGAACTGGATTTATGGGAATATTTTAAAGATTTCGTTTAATTATAAAATGATTTAGTAAATTCATAATCCGATTGATCAAAAAACTGTCCTATCAAAATTTGGCGTAAACATTTGATATTAAATTCTCGATTAAAAAAAAAATGAATCTTATACAATGTTGATTGTTAAAATATAATAAATAAAAGAAAGAAAGAAGAAAATGTGTGTTGATTAAACGGATATTTTGTTTTAATTGGTACGAATGACGATTGAAGAATGTCATTGGAAAAGCGAATGTTACTAGGTAGTTTGGATGAATAATGTAATTCGAACAAAGCATAGGGAATCGTTTTCCAACGAATAAATTTGTTTCATCTCTTTTCCATTTTGATTTCACCGTTAGATAACACGATAATAGTACTCGTGAGAATAAATACGTCGATAAGAATCATCGTTCTAGGTTGTACTGTTTGATAAGAAACGAAGGAATTTGAAGTTTCAATGGATAATTGCGAGTTACTGTCTTGTTGAAATTCTTACTAGTTTAAAGTACTAGCAATAATGCAGAAATTCTATTGTATTATCTCTTATGTTAGTACATGTATATGTGTAAAAGAGAGAAAAAGAGAGAGAATAAATGCAAAGAAGAAGAAGAAGAAGAAGAAGAAGTAGAAGTGAGAAAAACAGAGGGACTGTTTGATATGCGGCTCAACGCTCGGCTTGACTGACGCCTCCAACTTGCGAATGAAATTTTCATGAATTTCTATTAACTCCGTTTTTCTTCGCGTGCTCCAGAGACTTCAAAAGGGAAAAGAAAAAAGAAGAAAAAATATCTATCAAGTCAAAAAAAAAAAACTATATAAAATATCAAAGAACATATTATCGGTCTATCAGATATTACAATTTAATTTACGCGTTTACATTTAATAAATTATAGAACTTTAATCCCCCATATTTATTTTGGTTTCATTTTTCTCTAAAAAAAAATAATATAAATTTAAAGCGTGAATAACTTTTACTTTTACATACACTTTTTAATTAATAAATATTTTTTTTATATATTTATGAAGAATTGAATAAAAATAAAATATATAATAAAACAAAAATAAAATACACAATATAACAAAAATAAAATACAAAATTATAAAAAATAATAACAAATACCAAATACAAATTAATATTTGTATTAATTAGAAATAATACGCGCGCGCGAATTAGAGGTATACTTCAAAAAAATATCTTAAGATATATTTTTAAATCGGTATGAAATAAAATCAAGAAAAATATAGTTCTCAATAATATAATAATAAATTGCTCAGAGTAATATTTTTCAAAGTTTGAAGTTTCTAAATATCCATTTAGAAAATTCTCATGGGAGAATAGTTCTTAAACATTTAATCGTCACAAACTCTCATGACTGTCCTCTCTCTCTCTCTCTCTCTCTCTCTCTCTCTTTCTCTTTCTTTTTCTTTTTCTCTTTCTCTTTCTCTTTCTCTTTCTCTTTCTCTTTCTCTTTCTCTTTCTCTAAAACGTTAATTGTTTTTGATCAGTATGAATAACTAAACAAGAAGAAGAAAAAAAATCTTCAATATTTTATTAGGAAAATAAGAGAGTCAAAACTTTATTTTATCCAATCGAATTCGATTTTCTTGCTTATCAAATGCCACGAGATAGAAAGATAAAGATAAAGATAGATAAATAGAAAAGAATGGAAGAAAGGAAGGAAATAAGAAAGATCGAGAAGAAGAGTCATTCGATTTTGGTGACTTTTACTCGAAAACTGAGATTGGCGGACTATGTCCGTAAAGTTTTGCGGTTGTTGTCGTCGTAGCAAAACCCACCAAAATTCAAGACCCCCGTAGCGTTTCGGGAGAGAGGGCTTAGATAGTACCTACTCCAAGTTTCACTTTAATCCGAAAAGCCACGATAGGCCGAAACAATTGATTCCAAAACTCTCTTGTGTTAGCCATGGTATCACTTTTGGCACGCTTACACGCTTACGATTAAATATTACAATTAATATTTCAATTATTTATCATTCTAATCAACTGCTACATGTTCTTCCTTTTTTTAATATTTTTTTTTAATGAATTTATCGAACATTTTGAAAATTTTTAATTATTCGAACCATAATTTATATTATTATATATATTATTTATGTATAACTTAAAATTTTGATCTCAAAATTATTCGAATAATTTTTTCTTCATTTGTAAACAATTATAAGATAATAATATAATAAGTAGATTGGTATAAAATAAACGAAAACAATAAAATAAAGTAAAAGCAAGTATTTTAAGGGAGTATACCTAACTCATTTCAGCTCACCTGCACGCGACTTTCAGTGAGGCCAATTCTACTGGCAATTTCTTCTCGACAAAAGATATCAGGATAATGCGTCTTCGTAAAACACTTTTCAAGTTCGTTAATCTGTCCAGGTGTAAAACGCGTCCGATGTCGCTTTTGTTTAACCGGCTTCTCGTCACCTTGTCCGATCGCTGTTGCACTTCCTGTTAAATTACAAACCCATAATTAATTAAATCAATATATCAATGTTTGAAGAGATCAAATTTATTAATATTATTTACATTTTTACTAATGAAAAAATATTTTAATATTACTAATATTTTTTGTTTTTATTTAACATTTAGATTTAACTCTTTCGCGACGGTTAAATTAAATCATCAGTTTACAATTAATGAATAAACAATAATTCGAATTTTTGGAGCTTTTATTGTGTCGTTGTAAGACGAATATACTAAACCAACATGTTTAATTCGCTTATCGTTATTGCAAATGTCCCTGCCAACTAATTCAGTGCTAATATTTGGTGGATATAATCTGGCACCGTTCGTGAAAGGATTAATATTGAATAAGTAAGAAAATTCGCGTTGCTTTAAATTTATAGAGATGAATGATAAACGTACCTAGATAAGACGTGAATTTTTTATCTCGTTCAACTAATATTAAATATTTTACAGTAAATAATATGTATTATAAACAAACAAAAAAATAAAAGTTAAACGTGTCAAATTTATATTCAATTTATCTTTCGTTACATTGAACTTAGAAAATATTCGTATATAAATAAAAAAAAATAAATAAATAGCATTAAAAAATAGGTTAGCATATTTATCACGTTTTGTATCAAAAATTAGGCTTAATTTTGCAAATATTGATTTATTTTTTTTTTATTTAATCGATATATTATAAATCATTGAAATTTAGAAACATCACGAGTACTATTTCGAAGCAATGATATAGAAATTTACTACTCGTTATTCTCGTATTTCTATTTCTATTAACGTAAACTCGCGTCACGATTTCTTCTTAGAAATCTTTCTAACTTGTTTCTAACGCATGTTAGTTTTTTTTTCTATCTAACTCGAAGATAGGTATTACGTCATCGTCTTGGAAACATACTCGAGATCATACGCTTCGTAGTCTAACAAAAAAAAACTTACTCTCTATGGTTTTATACTTGAATATATTCTTAACAATTTATTTTTATTTTCAATTTTTTCTCTCTCACCTGCACCAGGCATAGTCATGGTTAATTCCTGATGAAGCAGGCCACCGCCAGCAGATAGTCCGCTTCCCAAGCTCAGTCTTACTACCCCGTCCAACTTATCGTGACGTTTTAAATCTTGAGCATGAAGGTCCTTCGTTCCTGCGAACGAGAAAAAAAGGGAAAAGAACAAAATCTTCCACCGTTCGGTTTTTTTATCCTAGTATTTGTGTATTTCTGTTTCTCTTTTTTTTTCTTTCTCTTTTTCTGTCTTCCCTTCGCTCTTTGTCGTCTTCTGCTCTATGTAGTTTAAATTTGTATAGGAGCAGAAGCCGACCGAGGGGCACACGGATCACTTAGCAGGAAAGTGCGAGAATCGTCACCGGCCTCCGGCTTCTATAAGACTCGTACACCAAACCTTCACGGAGGGCCACGTACTCACACTCACACGTATAAATATATATGTAGAATATGTTCGCTCACTCGTATATGTAAAGAAAAAAAACAGCACGCCCACGCGAGCGGAAAGCCGGTAGGAAAGTATTGGAGTAACCTACCATTGGAACGCCCATACGAAGTTAAACGAATGACCTTAACGAATGGGTGCTCTCATGATCGTTTCAACAAAAATCTTCCTTCTTTTTTTCTCTTTACTTCGCCATTGATTTCACAAGTAATTTTGTCTTCTTTTTATTTTTTTTTTACTTTGATTTTACGCGATGAATTATTGATGATTTTATTTTACTGATAATATTCATCATGGGTATAAAATAAAATTAATGTTTTATATTTAATCGAGTTTACGTTCACGTGGACGAACAATTATTGAATTTTTGTCGAACAATAACTAACAATTTTGCGTAGGATTTATTTTACAATTAAAAAAAAAGAAGAAAAGAAAACTCGTTGTAAATTACGAGAAAAACAAATCACAACTCGATTAAAACTCTTGAAATGAATTTGTTTAAAATAAATGTTGCTTCGATCGTTTCATGAAATTTTTTTAATTGTGAGAAAAATGATTATTTTTGATGTTTTTTCTTTTTTCTGTTAATAAAACAAAAACAATATAATAGGAAGGTAAAATAAAATTCGTACTTTCATTCTCGAAAAAAGAAAAAAAAACCTTGGCGACGTCAGTAAGGGATAGTGAAATTAATTTTGCAAACGCATCCGGGGAGTACTTATCTTCGTTTCTCACACAACTAAACACACATGTACACACACGTATACACATACGCATAGAGAAAACACAAGCGAAAACTAAAAAGAGTGGCGAACGTTGTTATGCGAGACGCGAACGTAAACAGCCAAAGTACTTTATCGTGTTCTCTATTTTATTGCAACGAAAGGTGATCGAATTTCTTTCTCTCAAAAGAAGAAGAAGAAGAAGAAGAAGAAAAAGAAAAACTTTGGAAACGTAAGATAACGTTGTATTTAATTTAAAAAACTATAGAAATTGTTTTTATTTATTTTCTTCACCAAAGATTTTTCAAAAAAGGGTTTAAAATTTTAGTGATCATTTCTATGATTAAAAAAGAAAAAAAGAAAAAGAAAAGAAAAGAAAAGAAAAGAATAAACACAATACAAAGATAAAAAAAATAAAATATGAAATAATATAAAAAGGACCACCAGGTAGAGAAATAAGTTCTTCTGAATGAAAGGCAAACCTCTTCGTATTCTCGTATGAATGAACTTTACGACCGGTCCTTATTTCTCTTTTACTTTTATGAGCACTTTTATTGGAAATCCCAACGTTTATGAGTGGATCCTCAACGAACGGAAAATTCGGCAGAGGTCTCTTTGATCTTTATTGTATCGTCGATTTAATTCCAATTATTTCATTAATTACAAACGCTCACATTTTTCTCATTTATTTTATTAAAATCGGTAGATGATGATTCACTTAATTCTAAATTACAAATCGAAACTAAATTGGAATGAAAAGTTATGCGAAAGATTAATACTTAGCGATACTTAATGAGTCAAGAAAATTTTTACACAAAGATTATTTTAAAACAAATAATCTTTGATTTTGCGATTTGTATTTTACAATGAATTATTAATACGATAGAAAAATTCTTACATCGTACAATTATAGACTTATCAATGTAATAAAACTAAAAATAATATTTGCTGTGAAACGAACACTATTAAAATTATAAGTTAAAACAATTTTAAAAAGAAATAAAATATAAACAAAATAGAGGGAGACTTTTTTTAAAAAACAGAAAAAGATAAAAATCTTAAGAACTTTCTTTTTTTTTACGATTTGTCCAAATTATATTTAGATCGTTTCCTTTTATTTCCGTTAGTTGAAAATATATTCTATTTCTCTAGAAAATCGAATATTCATCGAAAGAAAATTTGTTCAAGCTGGTAGGTTGGGAGCTTGGATAAAAAAAAATACAGATAATGGTAAGGGTATTCAGCACGTTGATCGGCGTTTTTATATTTCCCGATTGACAGGCGGCAGCTTCAAAGTGACTGAATAATAAATTCATAAATCAAATTATTCCCCGTGAATATTATGACGGACGTATTTATTCAGTTGTCACAATCGCGAATGCACTTTCATAGTGCCACCACATACAACGTTGACGTTTAATCCATTCGAAGAAAAAAAATATTTTTTAAATCGAGAAAAACGGGAAAAAACACAGAGAGAAAGAGATAGAGAGAGAGAGAAAGCAAGGAAAACCAAATTTTATCAAAAGAGTTAGAAACAGTTTCTTTTACATCGAACAAAAAAATCATTCTCATAAATCAAAATCGAATTTACGACGATCACACAGCAGAGCAGAAAAAAAACAAAAATCCGAAACGAAATTTACACCCACCTACTAGTAATACTATTGAATACAAAAGTATACGAAACAAATAAATGTCAAACATGTTAATACATACACGTAAACGTAAATGATATTTATTTATAAATGAGAATATCATTATTTCATATTACATTCGATTAAATTCGATTTATCTCAAGCTACTCGAATAATTTATTACGAGTAATATCGATATTCATGAAAATATCTCAAGTATACACTCGAAAACACGATATTCGAACATCATCTCGTTTATAGGAAACATAAATAAATAAATAAATAAATAAATAAATGAATGAATGAATAAATAATCCAAGTGTCCAGTAACGAACCCTCGAGGATAAAAAGCATTCCAAGTGACAAACGAAGTATAATACGTTTTAAACAAATCTACTGATCATTTTCAGTTATCCTTGATTTTTTTGTTTTTTCTTGGTGGGTGGGAAAATAAATAAAATAATTAAATATAATAAAAGAATTTTCATGGTAATAAAAAGATAGAAGTTTCTTTTTTTTTTTTTTTATTATAGACTCGTTCTCAAAGTCTAACACTTTCCTCGCAGTTTGCACCACCGACAACATCCTAACTCTCACTAAATCGTTCCTTAACTTCTCGCCTAATGTAATCAGTGTTGAGGTAATTAAGGTCATCAAACTCGAGAAGCGCTTTCCTTGGGCGACCACGTGTTGCGGCCACGAGGATTTCCTTCTCTCTCTCTCTCACACACACACACACACATATATATACTCTTTTGCTCTGTTTCACCCGTTACAACCTACCCCCCTACGTAACAACCTTTTTTTTTTCTTTTATATATATATATATATATATATATATATATACCACAAAAACTTTTCCTTCTAATTTCATTACCGTTTAGTGTACCTAAACGTTCTTGTCCCGTCCCAACCGTAGACATTTGCTTCAATCGACTTGGAAATAATATAATTATTGTTAAATCTAGGTTTTTTTTTTTTTGAGGGGATTTCGTACTTGTAAGAATGTTTTTTCTTATATAAATTATTAGATTAGATGTTTGATAAATATTAATTTATTTTATATTAATTTATTGTTAAGATTGATAGACACTATTTTTATTATTTTGCTCAGATATTATTATATTAATTGTATGAAAATTGTATCAATAATTGAAATGAAAATTTGCAACAGATCGAACAAAATTTCAAATTGTATCTAATTCAATTGTTCGATTTGAAATATTAGATTAGATAACCAATAATACAAATTGTATTCAATATAAATAAAAAACGAAATGAAATCTTTGCGTCGGATCATTTGAAATTAGAATATATATTTTTATAATTATTTAAAAAATTGATCGTGTAGGTTGGTAATCTTATCCGACGGGTGACGATTGAAACTAAAAATGAACTACTGATTTTCGACAAAATTAAACGAGAAAGAGAAAGTAAAGATAATTTCTTCAATTCAACAAAAAATTATACTGTGACATTACCGATAATCAATATTAGTTACACTTTTGAAACGGATTGCTGTTGACTTTTCTTTTAGGTATTTATGTTGCATCACAAATCAGAGATTCGTTTATGACGTTGGTAATATCGATCCTAAGTTAGAAAAATTTATTAAACCTGACTGAACTTTTGCACAGTTTTATTCAAAGACAATGTTCCAATTGTTACTTAAATTTATACGAAAGAGCGAGCTGAAGATACAATAAACATATATACATACGTATACACGTATGTATACATATACATAGAACATATATATAGAAAATATATACATATATATAGAAAATATAGTACATATATATAGAAAAATAATTCATTGTTAACTAGTTAATAGTTGAATCTTTCACACATATCGTTTATTTAATTAGATTAAGTAGTTTAATCATTGTTCAACGACACTTTTATTAATAATATGAAACCAAGAAATTTTCATCACGTAAATCATGATTTTAATCAATTTTTTTTATTATCTCGTTCAGATTCAAATGATTAATGATGTGATAAAAAGTTTTTTAAACACAAATGTTTGTATCACAATTTTCACATATCAATTTGATCTTACAAATTATTTTGACTAACCTCACTGAACACAATTTTTAAGTAAACCTATTTCAAATAAATTATGATAATCTATGTTATGGTTAGTTATAAAATTTTATAAGATTCTTGTTAATTCAAAAAATTATTGATAAATTATCACAAATTGTTCTTCATAGAAATGAGAGAAAGCAAATAATTGGATCTATTCTTTTATCTAATGAATACAAAAAATAAGCAAATATCAATTATTTAGTTCATTAAAATCACCAAAAAGAAACTAGTTTAATTCATCCAACA